ATAAACAGTAAACTAAATATCTTTGGGTTGTGTTATATAAATAAAGCTGTTTTGCCTTGCCCTGCCTTGATTGACATTTTTCACCATTTTATGACATTTTATACACCAAACAATTGACAAATTATTCAACAATGAAAATTGGAGGAACAAATGCACATGTTGTAAATAATGCGGGGCATGTGTCCTCTGCATCCCCTCCGAAGTCTACACCTATGCTACCCACCGCTGAGCCACAGCCAGAACACTAACATCAGATGGATCAAACTGGACTGGAGGGGCTTGGGAAAGCACTACCTCTGGATTTTCAGTCCTCAAAGTAGAGTAAAAGCTCTTTGTAATGAATATTTTTCTCACAAATGGGCATTTTCAACTGATTAACGTCAGGGTTTTGGGAGATTTATCATGATATTTTTTAACCAAATAGAAACTATGCCTATTCATTTTTTACATAATTCAATTACAACATTGAAACAGGGGTGTGGTGAATGTGTTTTCAAGGCAAGGTAAACAACATTTGTCTTCTTCAAAAAAACATGCTGTATTAAAGAAGACTTAAGGATTTAGTGGAATCTGGTGGCTGCAGTTGCAGATTGCAACAAACTGACACTTCTCCCATGTGTCAAATGTGTAGGAGAATTACTGTGGCACAAAAATGCAAAAACCTAAATGGCCCTATCTAGAGCCAGTGTTTGGTTTCCATTCTGGGCCACTGTAGAAACAACATCGTAGACAGTGGGAGAGGACCCACTTTGCATGTAGATATAAAAGGATCATTCTAAGGTAATGAAAACACAACAAGAAAACATATTTATTATATTATATTCCATTTCTGCCAATATATCCCCCTAAATCCTACACACTGGACCTTAAATTGTTTACATCTTTCGTAACTTTCTTCATCTGCAAACACTTAAAAAAGAGAAAAAAGTAATGGACATTTACTTTTTTTTATTACCCTGGACTGTTTACTTTATCTAAACCAGAATTGACGATAACTGATTTAAAAGACATGCACATGTATCTCAACATTCTGAGTGATCGAAATTGCTGCAGTGATGCAATAATGTATTCATAATAAACAAGCAACTAGTGGTATGTGGGTAGGTCAGATAGTTATCTTAATATTCTTAAAAGATAAGGCTATTAGTTTATTCAGACACTGAACTGTGGACTTCCCTCTGCTACGTGTCAGGGGACGCAGAATGCCTTGACCCGCCATGGCATTTCCTACTAACCTTGTAACACCTGACTTGTGCCAGAGTAGTTTGTTTAATGTTGTGCAATTTGTTAAACAAACGTTAAACAACTTTAAACAACAGGTTAAACAAAGCATGTTTACACAACTAACTGCTTTGGGTTTTGTGGTACTTGTATGTGGTACTTGTATTTTATTTGAATTTTCCATTTCATGCTATTTTATACATCCACTCCACTAAATGTCAGGGAGTAATATTGTACTTTTTACTTTGCTTTACATTATCTGAGATCTGTTGTTACAACTGGTTCTTTTTCAAATACGTATATATATATCCCACATGTACAATAAGATTTACATAGATTCAGCTACACTTAAGTAGTAAAAGTGTGGGGAACCTAACCTACCAGACTGCAGCTTGCACGTTAATGATTCAATCTATATAAACCAATAAAGCAGGCTACTGCTTGATAATATGACATCGTTAATAATCTACCTTGCTTGATTTAATGCCATTAATTTTACAGAACACAATGCCAAGACTTCTAAGTGGAATAAACCTTACCTTATTTCCACTGAAATATGTCAGTTATTAATTCATATTTCTACTTCTGATACATTTTGCTATTGATATTTTTACTTGAACAGTGTTCAAATGTTGGACTTTTTCACGCGAGTAACGTATTTTACCACTGTTATGTTACTATTTTAACTTAAGTAAGGAGTTCTTCCGACACTAATGAAGTAATTAATTTCGATTATTATTATAATTTGCACTGAAATAAATTGAAAGGTAAAGATTGGGATACCATCAACAAACAGCTGTTGATGATCATGGCACCGTCTTGTCACCTTTCGCCTATTTTGCAGTGCCGTTGTGATCACAAAACGTTTTAAAACTGTCCTCACATTAAGAATTGGCATAAAGTCAACTTTAAGGTGGAGACATTCATTTTAGATCAGTAATCATCCCACACTGAGTCATAGATAGGACAAAAGTAGCCCAAACATTTACAATAAAAGCAGCACAGCTCAGGTCCACATTCATCCATTCTTGCTTATTTTTTGCTTCCTGCTGTGAAGTGAAATGTGTTTGTTTACCTCTGATAAGCGCCATAATGCTGAATCAATTCACCACTGTCAGGATCAAACTTCAATCTTCGTGTGGCTCTGGATCAGTGTGTGGTGATCAGCGTATAAAAACCTGAGTCCTGCGACCTTTCGCCTAAATAGCAGCACCGGCTAACTTTCCACTCGTGCAGTCAGATTCGACAAAAAAAGTTACATATAAATTCAAACTAAGACATTAATAAATATTTTTAAAATATTCAGAGAGTAGTTTATTTTAATATTTATAGCACCGACGAAGTATTGTATCTTAAATACTGTTTATTTTTACTTTAAGCAAGAAAAATATACTCGAAAGTGCGCCACTGAAATCAAAAGCGTGGCCGGTCGATTACGTCATCTTCTCGCGACACGTCTGCCCTGTCACTCAGGCAAGGGGACAGGCGAAACAACTACATGTGAACATTTTTATGGCAAGCGAGTTTAAAGTGAAACAACACACAGTGGAAACATGTCTGTGGCTTTATCGCGCGGTCTCTGCAGGGTTTTATCTCGACACACCGCTCCGTCAAGGTGAGTGTTTGTGCTACGATGTAAAGAGCTAACAAGGAGCTAGCTACCTGGAGCTAACATGGCTAAGGTTATTCAACAGAGAAATAATGCTAAATCAATACTGTGGTTGATAAACACCCCCGCGTGACCCGTGTTTTGTTTGTTACGTGTTGTTCCGCAGCTACCTGTTGGGAGAACATGCTGTACAGAGTCCTTGGCTTGCTCCTGTGATGACACTGAAGACTTCTGCCCCACTGAGGTATGATCGAGGCTGGATAATAAACCATCTGCATTCACAATCAGCAGTGAAGTTCAAGGTTCACTGCATGTCTGTTGTGTTTTGGTAATTACATGAATTTGTTGACGAATATGCACCACTAAAACATTGCCTAATATTAAGACAGGTCCTGCATTTAACTGCCAATCTAGTGGGCCTGTTTTAAATAGGCACTTATTTCATTATTTTATTTATCAATTAATGCCCCAAAACTGTTTCTAGAATCCAACATGGCATCTACATATTGTCCAAATATGTAATTTACAATGATGTAAAATGAAGAAAACCAAAGCAGTAAAATAATCCTCAATCTTGAGAGGCTGAAATCAGAGAATGGCATCGGCCTTGTTGCTTTATGATGACCTCATTATCAAATTTATTGTCACTTCATTTTCTATAGATCCGTCAATTGATTAATTCACTAGTTCAAAAAAACTAAGCTGCACAACAAAAGTGAGCAGGTGTTATTTCAGCGCTGATTGATTTCTGGATCTTTGTGTGCACTGCATTAAATGGTCACAATGCAGAGGGCTGGACGTGGGGCTAGAGGAAACTCCTGATACTACTCAGTCACACGTGTACAGCCAAAACCCAATATCACGTTTAATGTCACAGTATCAATATATTAAATTCATATATTTCCCAGACGTTTCAAAATATTTCTGTGGCTGAATGTGCTAATGTAGATATGTGCTTTGTGTTTTAAGAGCGGAGCCCAAAAAGAAGAAGAAAGTGGATCCAAGACGGGAGCAGATGATCAGAGAGAGGATGAAAAGAAAGCTGAAGAGGCTGGAGAAGATTCCACCTGAGCTTATCCCCATAGAGGACCAACTTATTCCAGCCAAATGCTTGGATGAAACAAGGTACAGCTCATTTCACTATTGTCTACACTGTCATGTGTAATTAATCTGGTTAGATTTTTGCCAGGGCATGTGAACCTGCCTGCAGTGCTGGGTGTGGTAACATACATTAAAGAATGAAGCTGGTGTTGTTCTTACACATTAAAGCATCACAAGAACATTGTCTAATGACTGCTCGATATTAAAATTACACATTTTAATTTATTTTATGGATTTGCCTTTATGCGTCATTAGTCTTTCTTGGACTTACTGTACCTTTTGTTTTCTCCTTGCTACTGTGGTGCCCGCTGACTTTAGAGTGCTGTAAATTGTTTTTTCTTCTTCTCTTACAAAGGGAACGCTCTGTACCGAGGCTGTCATTTGAAGAAAGTGAGGGTCGAGCCCTGCTGCTGAAGAAGTGGAGTATATACAAACAGGTCACCACTTACCTCTTACACCTTCACCACTTAAGATTTTACAGAGAATCTTACCTCTGACCTCTGCTCTCCATCATGAACACTTAGTGGGCCATATTTGATGCTCTGTTCTGTCTTTGTTCTTGCAGGAGCAGCACATGGCTGAAGTCCAGGCTGTTGAAGATGCTATAAAGGCACAGAGGGAGGCGCTGAAGGAGCTGAAGTTAGAGTCTGAGCAGCTGTATCAGGCAGCGCTGAAGCCAGACCCCCTTCTGTTTCCCTTCACTCATGAAGGTCCTGCCTACACACCACCAAAAACTGATTATGAAGCTCCTGATGGGAAATACACTGACATCACTAGAGTTTACACACAGTGAAGGACAAGGAACAGCTGTCGGAGCATCCTCTGTGTGTTGTCATGTATTTAGTGTATTTGTACATGATTCAGTAAGCCAAGATGCAGCCTTTAAACAGCCTGCATGTGGAGGTGTGAAGGACACTTTGCAAATGTGTTTCTGTGTTTCTTGAATTGTGCAGCCAGCTCAGCTGTTTCATGTCAGAATCAAATGCAACAACATTCATGGAAATTATGCGTTGATTTTTTTGTTCACATTCACATTTCTGTATAAAACTGAACAAAAGAAAGTGGAAAATAAAGTGTACTTTTTTTATTGATCCAATTTTTTCAGAGTAATTTTAGACAGTTAAAGGGTAAAGCCATATTAGATTACATAAGGCAGAAAACTGCAAATGCACAACTCTGTGTGAGGTGATACTGTGAAGCTGAATTCTGTCATTAATGTATTAATAATATATTATCATGGACAAGTATCTACAGCATCAAAAAGAAGAATATTTACCTTGGTTGAAGACAATTCATATGGTCCTTTTGAGAAATGCTGAAAGGCTTACTCAGGCCAACTCGCCCGTTCGATACCAACAAAGGCTGCATATTACATGTTATTACATTCTAGTGGAGCATTAACATTTTACTTTATAACTTACCTAAACAATGCACAATAGATCCTTTGTTTCTTGGTTTAAATATGGAATTTTAAAAATATATCCACTGCATAATTTGACCCGTTACTGCCCTTTTCTTACACTGTACACAGAAAAACAAGGCAATTACTATTAAAACTCATTTACAATGAGACTGAGTGAAGTCAGCCTTTGTGGTTCAGTTTACACAAGCTTTAGAGAATTATTTATAATGGGCAAAAAAACAAAACAAAAAAAACAACAACCCCAACACTGCCCTTGCAGAGATCATATTGTAATTCATTAGTTGAATACACGCTGTCATCCCCATCATTGACCACTAGGTGCTGCTACCACTGTTTCCATTCAGAGGCTCACTGAGTAGAGCTGGAGGTGGCAATATGTGATGACCAGTCTCTCCAGCACATGGCTCTGAACGATTTCATTAAGTCTGTTATGTGACAAGAATTTTGAATCTTCATTTCACTTTGCTTTCGCCGCCATGGAACAAAGACAGCAGGTCATTAGTGACAGTTCAGGAGTCCTGGGGCTTTTCCTGATTCAGGGGCATGTGCCAGTCTCTGGGAGGGTCTCGCCTTAGTTCCCACACTGGGGTGAAGTTTTTCTGCTCTGCGACTCTGTTCCTCTCACTCTTCTGCAAAGCTTCCTGCAACACAGACATATAATCTATAAAACTGTCTTCAAGTGTTTAGATGTATTCTTCAGGACATGAATAAAGGTCACTTGTTTATGTTTTTAAACAATGTGATTTCCTGCTGCTGTACCTTGGCCTCTATGCCTCTGTGTTTCTCCCACTCTCTGCAGTTATGGTAGTCCTCTTTCCACTGCTGGCAGGATGGGGAAGTACCGTAAGCGTAATAGTGGTGGAAACGGTTCCTCAAGCTTTTGCAGTGTTTGAATTCACTCCAGTAGTCATCACAGGCTCGGGGTGGCTTACCAACAGACAAAGGTAGGAATTGTCACCAAACCAACTTCAAAAAGTATTATTTTGACTCCCTACTGTTGAGTCTCTGGTAAGTATCTGCATCACTTCTACTTTTCTAGTTACACCAAACAAGCTCATGTTAGATGTAAGGATCAACCTGAGGAGAACTCAACATGTGCAGCTGGTTATGGTTTTCAGTGAGGCCGAAGACTGTTTGTCTTGACTGACTGAGAACTGGTTAACAGAAAAGAGACATTATTAAATGAAAATTAATCAAATCATTGGAGATAAATGCCATTGTGAAAAAACTGTGGATAAGGGCCATTCTGATACTAAAATAAAAATGACCTGCTATAAACTAATTGTGAAAACATGCAGGATTCAATCATTTCATGCCGTTTAAATGTAGATTATTTCACTATTTTTAGCATTTATTTTGTCTGTTATTCATAAGATTATTTTTTTTATATCTTATCCATTTAAAACTTTGGGTGTGCACATATGATAGAATTTATGAATTGTCCATTAACAGGAGGCTTTCTAAAACACTAAGTAATACTGTTTAATAAATAAAATGCAATGGTGTTTACTTACTAATGATACCGTTAGAGAAAAAGAATATACTCAGAGTCCACAGGAACACCACTTACAAACTCTCCATTTTAATTAGGATTCAAAAAAGAGCAATGAAATTCTACAAACACCTAAAAACAAGGGACCCCAACTCATACCATTACAAGGCTTTCCTTTGCCAAGAAGAGAACATAGAGAGGAGTCCTCTCAGTCAGTCCTCTCGGTCCTGAAGCTCCCCTCCTCTAACAGCACAGGGTGTCAGGACAACCCTTACAAAATCCAGCCCAATCAAATTATAGTTAAAGATAAACCATTGGACATCTACCACAAAAACCCCAAACAAACATCAATGCTATTTGGCCCTGAACAGACAGTACACAATGGCATACTATCTGACCGCTGTGACAGATCACAAACTCAGAAAGACAATGACTATGTACAGACTCAGTGATCACAGCCTGGCCATAGAGACTGGCAGACACAGGCAGACCTGGCTGCCTAGAGAAGACAGGCTGTGTCAGCTCTGTCCTCAGAGACAGGTGTAGACAGAGCAACATTTCCTGCTAAATATAAAGACATCAGAACAAAGTTCTTCACAAAAATTAAATGTAAACTCCAAGAATTTGATACACTCTCTGACCAGACTAAAATGCAACATCTTCTCAGCGATATAGATGCAGCAAGATATGTCAGTGCATGTCACAGCCAACCAACAAAACAACATATAGTTCATCTCATCACAGATCACACTCTTTTTATTTACTCCTTCACTTAATACGTTTTTTTTTATCTCCTTTAAAATGCATGTCTTAGTATTTGTAATAATACACTGTTGTTAAATGTTTTTGAATTTTCACTATTTTAAATTATAATTGTACTTTGGCAACCCATAAGAAGTGTCATGCCAATAAAGCTTACTGAGTTGAAAAGAGAACAGCACCTCCCTCAGGTCGCTTAGGCTTAGATGAACCTCAGTGGCTGATCTAACGTTACAACCATCTATACTTCCATGTATTTTTCTATTTTCATTGACTATAGCAAAGGTAGATTTCAGATAATGCAGTGAATCAGGTAAAAAACTGAGGGTTTCTGTTAAAACCCTTTAGTCTAACTGACATTGCTAACGTTAGCTAAGGTTACTTCGGCAATTTAGCAACGATAGCTAATCACCTTGCTGACTATTTGGGTCAAATTTGGCACTTTCCACTTGTTATCAGGAATATCATGAACAAGGTAAGTGAAATTTAAACAGGACATTTAGCTTAAAGCGTAATTTACAAAATGTTTTAATTAATTACCCTCCACGATGCTCCACCAGACCGGTCCATTGCTAGCCTCGCTAACCAATACAGCAACACTACTTCCGGTTCGATGGCGTTTCACAATAAAAGCGCTAAAACAAGATTCTACAGCCCTTACTTTGAAGAAACTCATATGAAGCACTTTCCAGCCGTAAACATCAAAATAAAACAGGAATTTGTGTATAAAACTAACGATGATTGACTTAACATACCATAATTGTAGTAACCATAACTATGACCATTTCATTTTAAGTTACTCTGCATTTGATATGTCAAGAACCTGTTTTAGACAGACATTTCTTCCTTCACATCTTTTTGGGTTTTCCCATTATCTATTGTTGTTATAAATAATTACTTCCATATTTCTTGTAATTTTATCCTGTTGTTACACTGTCTAATTAGATCTAGACAATCAATTATAAATCATAAATAAATCTAATTTGAGTCAAGAAAAATACCATGAATACAGAAACATCCTATTATGTACCTGTTTCATCTGGTAGTTCACATGCATGCACATACATTACAAAAGTAACCATTAGTGACAACTAATTAATTCAAACGCAATCCTTTATTTGTCTATAAATAAGCCAAGAAAAAAAAGAAAAACTTGCAAATTACTCCTCCAGCTCAGAAAAAACTCAAACATAAACTTATTTTCATTAAAATTAGAAACAAAAGGATCGAGCTTTTATTGCTCCATTGTGTCATTTGAATGTGGCTCTGGATAACAGTATATTTCAAGTCATTTGTAAAAATGCAACAATTATGGAAAAAGGGGGAAAATGCTCCAATATCACGACAAAACTCCTCAAACAAAAGTTCCTCGTTGTGTTGGTGGTGTGGTGATACAAACTCCACACAGCATTTTATGAAGCTCGGCTTTTGTTGAGCAATACGTTACTGTCGGAGGTTTAATTACAAATACTCCCACCTTGAGAGCAAAAATCCCATTTCAAAGGGACAGGGAGACAAAATGCCAATGCATCTGAAAGCCAGGTTTGTTTGTTTTTTACTTTGTTGTTGAAGGTGACAATAGATATGATGAGTCTATGCACATTGGCCAGTCTCTTCACTTGGGATCCTTCACGGCTTTCTGCCCTTCTTGCGTAGTGACTGCCCTTCTCCTGAGAAGGCGATGAATCTGTTCATGGCATCATCCTGTGAGAATTGGAAGAGATTTAAAGTAGTTATAATTGTAAACTACAGCATGAGGGCTGCATAACAAAATTTATGTAGGGAATTCTATATAAATAAACAGAATTAATCAAACAATAAAATGGTTTAGTATAGGTACTGGAAAAGAGTGAGGAACTGTACTGATATGCTGCAAACATAGCGTTGTTGAATATTCATGAACAGTTGATAAAATCCTTCACATTTCTTACATCATCTACAATTTTCCTGGGCTGAGGCCTTGAGTTTCTGATGAAGGTGATCCTGCCAATTTTGAACTCGTAGTTGGGAATGCCTCTGTGAGATGGAAGATTAAGGTTAAGGTTAAAACACTGGTAAAAAAGGTTCAATGTTCAGTGATTTGTAGTAACACAGATTAAACAGGCACCGCTAAAGGTCTCCACGCAGAGTGGAACTCTGACGATCTCAGGAATTAATATGTCACATTGTGCAGTGGTACAAAGATAACATTTTGACACATTCTTGCTGTAAGATGCTGCAAGCAGAGGTGAGTCTATTGTTGTATTTTGCAATTCGCTGAATGGCCAATCTGTGAATTACATCTTCTAAAAGCAAGCTGACCACGTTATTTGACACCAAAACAAGATGACGTGGAGTGAGCCACAAGCAGCAGACAGTTTATTGCCTGCAGAAACCCAAACATGGACAATTAGAAGGGCGTGGACACAGTCTTGGTTTGGCAACATAATGCACAGTTTGGCAATTCTCCTGCAGGCTTCAGACTTTAGTTTTTCCAGCTGTCAGACAAGGCATTTTTCACTTCCTGCCATGCTCCTCTGTACCATAGCGGTCACTCACAGGGCATCATAGAAACACTTCATCACAGAAATCACAGAAAATTATACAAAATAGCTCACACAGCCAGAACTTGTTAGAGACTACAACTCTATACTGTGATGCCCTGACTCTCTGTATCAAAGTTCTCTACATTTTATATCCAAGTCATTGTCACGCACACATGACTGTATATTTTATGATCTAGGTTCCTGGCCTTCTTTAAGCCTAAGAAGACAGGAGCATCAGTATATTTTTATTTACAAATCCATAATGAGTAAACTCCCTTCTTAACTGAGCAATCTTTTATCACTCACCAACAGCTATTATGATTTTAGCTCCCCTAGATGGCAGCTCTACCCTGTGCCAAGGATTTGTGTAGAACTTGGTAGAACAGCTTTCTCCTGTTTCGCGCCTTAATAATTTTGTCTCTCTTGGACAGTTCAAAGCTCTGATAAAAAACTGAAAAGTGTAATTATTATTCCGAAGCTGGATTTTGTAGTGTGTCTGTCTCCTCTGTCTGTTTTTGACATGCCCTGTTTTATTTTTTTGTAACCTTGCAATGGTGCACTATCTTGGCCAGGTCTCCTTTGAAAAAGACATTTTAATCTCAAGAGACTTCCTGGCAAATGAAGGTTTTGTAGGAGCCAGAATATATGTATATAACCTCTGTTGTTCTGCACATGTTCTTTTGGTCACCTTCACTTGTGGTAGTTGTAACTGGCGCAGGGTTGTGGTTTCATATTATGTTACCTGTTCCTTCACTGGCGTGGCAGCTTTCAGAAAAGAGGGTGAGCTTTTGGCTCTGGTGTTTTCTGTCAACCATTATCACATCACCAAATATTTCATCTCATTTTGCTTTAATTATCTCAGTTGTTTGTTTAATAAATCATCATAAAACGCATCTTTGGACTTCAGAATGGATTTTATTCAAATAGTCACAGTTACTAGCCTACTCAGCTTCTTAACAGCTTTTTTCATTGATAGTAGTTGCTACAGGTTTAATAAAATAAATTAATTAATTGTATGTTTAAATTCAGCTCACCAACTGACCCGCAACAAACCTATGAAAGATTTAGTCCTCTCTAAGAAATTGTCTATGATAGCCAGAAAATTATACAAAATACTAAGTGTGAGGTGCCTGTTGGCTTCAAGCTAAAATCAAAAATATTTATCTTTCCTCTTACCTGTAGTGTTATTCATCAAACTAGATTGATAGACTCTTTCCAGAAATCATGACTTGGTTACTCAGGATAATCCACAGACCTTATGAGCAGTTTCATGTAGGAACTATTTTCTTTCCAACTAAACCTACCGACTGTTACTGAGCAGAAGGAAGCGTGCATCTACTGCTAGCTCACCTAGCACGACTGTGCTAGATAACACAGCATAGTTGTGGAGGGCACAATTAATGTTTCCATCTTGTGCCGTCACAAGCACGATGGATGAGTGATTTGATAAGTTGTCCACATGACGTTAACAAAAGAGAACTGTGTATTTTAATACAAGAGGTATGACTTCATGACTTTATTAGTCTCACTTTAGTCTACCTCTTTTATGCAAAAGAACATTGACTGGTCTCTCAATGTCTCTCGTAATTGTAGAGGTTGGAAAGTCGCTGCCAATTCCCCAGTTGATTGTATGAAAAAGGTATTAAATTCCTTTGCAGTTTTCATCATGTCGTTAATGACTATTCCATTTATGTTTAATTCCATTACTGATTTTTGTGGGTTAGGCACTCGATTGGTTAGAGTATTTAGGTGTTTCCAAAGTGCTGAGCTTGAGCCCCGACATCACCAGAATCAGAACCTAGCTATAAATCATTCCCCATCTCTCTTCTCCCTCATTTTCTAACTGCTTCCCTGGTTGCTGCCTAATAAAGGCATTAAACACCAAAAACATCCTAATGGGGGGACCTTGTAATGTTACACAATCATCATGTTGAATAGTTAAACCATTATGTTACAATTTTTTATTTGTATGCCACTTTGTGTCCAAGTGTAAATACTGAACATTACCTTTTGATTTCACTTGGGCAAAGAGGGGCAGGGCTGGGCTCAATCCCTTTTGTTTTACCATCCAAACGATTGCCAGAGCCAGTGAAAGCCTGATGATAGGAAACAGAATAGGAGTTACATCACCTCCAGTTATTACAGTCATTAGTAGTGGTAGGGACATTTATTTATTTATTTATCTCTGAACCCACAGCAACATTTACTCACTCTGAATCCCATGTCCATGTCAGCATAGCTGGTGGGATCTGCTTCTTCCTCCTGTGAAGAAATACGTTTTATCAAACTGTTCAGAGCACAATTTCTGCAGGTACCTTTGGGGTTTGATCCTTACTGTTGGTTCCTCCTGGTGCTGAGGTCGTCGTTCAGGCTCTTTGTAACCCAAAGGAGCATCGAAATCCACCTGAGAAACAGAGTCACGACACATTTAAAGTGGAGATCACAACACAGTAATTCACTGTTGTCTGTGATACTATAGAGGATCTTACATTCATGTCACACTCAATGATGGACACTGCTTTATCTGGCTTGGTTTCCATTACTCGCAGCTCATATATCTGAAACAAATTCAGATTCCATTTGAAGTGTATTCAGGAGAAAAAATAAAGACAAAACATATTCATATATTAGTCCAACACTAATTTTAGTAGGTTAATTTACCTTTTCATTGTAGTTGATGGCGATGACATCACCAGTTGTCAAGCAGGCAAAGTTTCTCAATGCATTTTCCAGTCTGTAATTAAGTGAAAACTTAATCAATATAATTAAACACAAAATGTGGAAAAGGTCAGTTTAATGTTCCTAGCTGATATCTCTTACACTGCCTTGGGGTTTGTAATGTCCAGGAAGTCAGGGCTCTGTGGCTGGAACTTTGAGTACGTGGCAACCATAAGATTAACACTTTCCACCTGGACCAGACCACCTTCCTCCAGCAGAAGATTCTGCATCATCTGCAGCAAACAAAATAAAGCAAATATAAGTGCTGCTTTGACTGATGCCTACAGAGTGGCTTCAAAAGCATTTAATCAACAGAGAACATTATAGGCGGTGACATCAAACTGTTTCTCACCCAGTGTGGCAGGTAGCAGATTCCCTCGTCTGCCACAAACTCCAGAACGCCGCAGTGTGTCATTCTGTCTGAGTTCTTGTTGGTCAGCTTGAACAGCATTGGGTAGGTGATGTTAAGCCTGCCTGTACAAGTAACAGTAACAGAATGCTTAGATTCATAGAAGGCTCATACAGGACTTTTA